TGCATAAAGTTAAACAATTCTTAATTTTTGTCGCTTGACGCCCACATTCTGTCGCCAACGGTCACTGTCGCTCGTGTCGCCGGAAGTCGCCAGCTCTCCGTTGAAAATGAATGGGAGCATGTCGCTTTGTCGCTGTGTGTGATGGGAAGTTCGGCTCTTTTCAAAGATTCGGCACTTTTGGCTCGGCTCCCTTAGAAGAGCTGGCTCTTACGGCTCCCAAATGGCTCTTTATTTAGTATCACTCTGAGCCTTCTATTTTAGCCCAATTTAGCAATTGTGAATGGTTTGTGTGTTGGTAAGCAATTTTATATTCAGTGTTTTCATAAAAGCCTTATTTTTATGAAATTTTTTTTTCATACAAAAAAAATACACATTGATTTAACATTTTAATAAAACTTTAATTGAACAATTGAACACAGAACCACAGCAAACAAATAAATAAAGGCAAAAGTCTTAACATTAAGACACTTTAGTCTTTAGTGCAGGTTGGCATTCAGAAATATCAGATGCCTCAGCTTGGATGTGCTGATGCAATTTCTCCTCTCTGTGATTATTTGTCCTGTTTTTGAGAAGACTCTCTCTGAAGGGACCGATGTTGCAACAATGCAGTGTCTTCCTACCATTACCTTAACCAACGCGTTGCGTTTAAATCATAGACTTATAGGTTTAAATCAGGGGTGTCCAAACTCGGTCCTGGAGGGCCGGTGTCCTGAAGAGTTTAGCTCCAACCCCAATTAAACACACCTGAACCAGCTAATCAAGCTCTTACTAGGCATACTAGAAACTTAAAGGCAGGTGTGTTGAGGCAAGTTGTAGCTAAACTCTGCAGGACACCGGCCCTCCAGGACTGAGTTTGGGCACCCCTGGTTTAAATCATCCGGCTTCCCCGTCTCTCTCTGTGGCTCTGTGTACCTGACCTGTACCACTATACTCGCTATCTTCAGAGCTTGTGTCCCCCGATTATAAAAATAAGGCTTTTATGAAAACACTAAATAAAAAATTGCTTACCAACACACAAACCATTCACAATTGCTAAATTGGCCTAAAATAGAAGGCTCCGGCTGAAGATCCGGCTCTCCCCGACGGGAGTCGGCTCTTCTCGTTCGCTACAAAGAATCGGCTCTTAGATCCGGCTCGTTCGCGAACGACACATCACTAGTGTGAACGGGGCTTGAGTTGTGCGAGATGCTCAACGGTTCTGTTGAGGCTTTGTTTGGAATAATTTTAATTGAAAACAAAGTTAAAACCTTACTTCCACATTACAAACACTTGGAATTGCTTTCTTTCTGGTCTCACTGCTCTAGTGATATTTAGTCCAGCAAACTCGCTTGTGAGATACTGCTTAGCTATTGCCTTAACTAACTTTATTGTAAAGCATGCATTGCCTATTTACCAAATTGTTAAATCATTCACAGTGCTGCAGCAAGCTGCAGTTTGATTTATAACAAACCAATGCAGAGCACTAAACCAAGCACCAACTATCACTACAAGGCCAGACTAAGATTTTAGCGCTGCTTGTGGGATGGAAAGGCTTATTGAGATCCAGGTTGAGAAAATTATGTTTTGCTCTCAGTTTCTCCCCTCTGGTGAGAATCAATTCAGCAGTGGCTGAAGCCTCATCCTCAGTGGCGTGTCCACACAGCTGGACTGAATTAGATGTTAGTGGGCAAATGTTTCCCACGTGTTCCTCAGTCACAGGCGTATGGCTTCATCTCACAAGCATGGAAATTGTAGCTAACGGTAAAGACTTTAAAAAATAGGACTGTCATCCTGCAGACCTTGCATATCCAACGCTTTAGATTCCTGCAAAGAGTGTCCACATCAGTTATCATGGTAAATCCTACGGAGGATTTGAGTTATACAGTTTGATAGTGTCTAGGCTGTGTGCTTAGGCTATAAAGTATACATTTAATCGAGTTAAGCACTTGCTTTTGAAGTTGAGAACAGACTAAGACGGCTATTGTTACAGAATTCACAATTAAAGTACTGGTTTCCATTTCCAGCATGCTTACTGTATGTGCCCATGTTTGTATTTGGTTGTGTGTGGGGGTCTATGTATGAGTCTTGAAAGCAAAAGTCCATAAGACATAAACCTTTTAGCTGGCGTCTGCAAAATATGTATATTGATTGAGCACAAAATCTCATAATAATTTCTAATTTAATCATACCTTTCTCTTTCTGCCTCTCTCTCTCTCACACACACACACACACACACACATAAAGTACACATGCACATGCTTATTTGCCCTTGAAGGAATAACCGAAGAAAATAGACTAAGCTTTTATTGGCCACTCTCAATCATCTGAAAGAGCAGCGTGCAGCTTGGGTTACACGTGTCCACATTATTTCCTAAATCGGATCCTTAATATGTAGTTTTTCTTCCTTCAAAGGTGAATTGTGGTGACCTGGTGAAGAGCTTATAAATGAGGTCGATAACTTTAAAATGGGACCACTTTGTATTAGAAGCTCCCTATTAATGCGATAGGCTGTGAATCATTGCCTAAAGTTTGTAGTGTGACAGAAATTACTGTCATGCTTCTCAAACAAATAGAAGGCAGCATTGTCCACATAAGAATGACATGCAGGGTCAATTACAGGCCTGTTGTGATACAATAGACAGAGCATTAACAATGCTACACGTTTTTACATGTAGCATGAATTATTTTAGCCCACTAGACAGACACAACTATCTACTGCCAGTCATGATGTTGTCTTTTGTAATGTGCTATAATTGTAGCTGAGAGAGGGAGGAGAATCCATACTACAGTTACAGTTTTATATAGGCAAACTGGGTGGCAGCTTGCAGGTGGACACTGGAAAATTCCTCTCGTAACTAATAGTATAGAGAGATATTTGGTTCCAAACACCATATGGCACAGTTAAAGACAAAAAACATGCATGAGCCATCTGAATAGTCTGCTCTCATGCCACTTAAGAAACATATAGTTGATTCCTCAGACAAATATGCCCGGATATGTATATGAAGGTGTTTGAGAGAGGCTTTGTAAATCTGCAGTGTCTATTTTTATTCCTGTGGTTATGGTGCACGTGTTCCCTGAGGTTCTTTATGGAGCATGATGAATGAGGTGCTATTCACAGTTTGAGGCCTGACTCGTTCGCTTGCCAATATAGAAACTTAGTAGCCCACTTGCTGACATTCACATTGCAGGGCTGTGATGGCAAAGCAGGTGTTGTGTTTTCATATTTTTTATTTTTGATGTTTGTTTGTTAGTTTAATGTCACATATCTTTCACACTGTCTGGCTCCAATGCATCAGCAGGTATTTTTCTGTGGTGTCTCTGTAAAAAAAAAATGAGTTCATGGTAAAAGCTTAATGGTAATAGCTTTTACATTTTTTTTTCTATTTTATTTCTTTTTCTTGTTCGTTTGAATGTTCTTAAATTATCTTGAATAGACTCTTAGTAATTTTTATATTCCTAAGTGATTTATTTTTATTTTTTCCACTCACTCTCTATAATTCCTGTGTAAAGCACTTTGAATTTCCAATGTGTAAATGAAAAAAACCCATATGCTTATTGAGCATAATTATATGATTAGATATGACAATTTTAGGTTCCTAGCACATTTTGTTAAACTAAGGGCACTTCTTGAGCTGCAGTGACATCTAGTGCACTTTGAGTAATAGACTATGTATCAATAAATGCACCATCCACTGTTTAAAGCAGACATCAGCTATTGTTTCAATAACCACAAGAGAAGTAATTTCACAAAAGTGCCTCCCAAGGTGGGGACGGTTGGGTGAAGAGGTGAGGAAGTGGCATAATAGGGGCACTTTAAGATGTAGTCTGACCAACTAGCAATTAGCCAAGGGGTCTTATTTTTTTAATTCAGCTTTTTTTATGTAACCAAATTCAAAAAGACCAGTATTAAAGAAAAAAATGTGATGATTCACTTGTAAGACTAGTCTAGAACTTTTATGCAACTGGCCCCTGCTAGAGTTGATGTTTGATGCCACAATGCAGCGTTACGCAACACTGTCCTCTTCTGGACAACTGTGCATAGCACTACCAGTTTTGTGTTTCGTTGATGCTGAAATAAAATATAAATATTCAATGAAAAACTTCAGCTTTAAAAACTGAAATGTTGCCTTGGCAACTAACTGAAATAAATAAGTTGAAGTTGAAGTACTAAAATAAATAAATAGATTACTGAAATTAGCATAAGTGAGCAAATTCTATATTTCTACTCTATACTCGCATATATAGATACACATAGTCTATATTTCTATTTTTTCATAGTCTATATTCCTACTACTGCAGCATATTTTTTATTATTATGTTTCTTACATTGTGTATGTATGTGTGTATAGTTTATGTATGTGTGTGTAGTTTTGCACTGTCTTGGCATTCATTGTGGACAGCAAAGTAAGAATTTCATTGCTCAGGGAAACTTGTTTTCCTCACTGGGCATATGACAATAAACGCTTTGAATTTGAATTTGAAATATTTATAAACAAAAACGAATGACATTAAAATGACAAAAGCACAAAACAAAATTACTAAAATATAAACTAAAATTAAAATGAAAGCTAAAAAATAAAAGCAAATTCAAAAAATTATTAAAAAGTGGTCACACAAATTGAAAACACTTATATTTAGCAGTTCAAAATAATAGTGCCATTCCTCCTCATCACCCCAATTTCAACCAGTTTTTGAATCATTGTTGTTTCTCGTGCATCATTGATCGCAAATCAAATTATATGATGTGTAAAATGTTACTTACTTCAAACTATATTAGCTATAATAATATATTAGTAAATAATGTATTAGATAATATAATAGTTATTATAGGCTACTTCAGATTCAGATATTAGATTCAGTTGCTGACATTCACATTGCAGGGCTGGAGGCAAAGCAGGTGCTATGTTTTAGTATTGTCTTCATGCTATGAAGCCTCATATTAGTTTTTGATTGACAGAATTTAAACTAGTAGTTGTGTAGGCCACAGTATCTGGAAAACCTGCTGCAGTCTAGCCCTGATAGTGATTCATTCAAAATGAATGGATTCCCGTCTGTTGGTAAGGGAAGTACAGAGTCAGGTGTGTCTAATCATCGGATCGGTTTTGTTATGCTAGCATTGTCTGCATAGTTTCTATATGCTAGATGACGGCACAAACACGGAATGAGGCATGTACTCATGAAAGCCTGACGCTGTATTTCACACAGCTCAAGAGAGAGAGAGAGAGAGAGAGAGAGAGAGAGAGAGAGGTGTACGATTTCCTGCTGCAAAGGACGATAGCTCAGCTCTCAGCTGTGGTTTGCTGTTTTAGTTTTTATACTAAATGGATTATGTCACGCAAAGGCTTTCTTCATATTTCTACATTTCTTTGAACATATTGTTTTGTTCTTTATTATGAGTTCGTGTTAACTAAAATAACACGTTTACTATATGACTGTTTTGTTTTGATTTATTGCATAGTAGGTTTGTTGCATCGAATATTAAATATTGGAGCCACATTATGAAATTCAACGGATATATGAGGCTGCGTATCGGGGAGGCGGTGGATTTAAAACCAACAACTTTTTCAACTCGTCACACCTTTCATAAGAAAATCGTCCTGGATCCTTATATCGTTGTTAAAGTCGATAATGTGAAAGTTGCACAGACCAACAAACCGACCTTCAATGATGAATTCTGCCCATACATCTCAAATGGCAAGGAGCTGGAACTGGCTGTTTTCCATAACACTCCAATAGGATACGACGATTTTGTCGCCAATTACAGAATCCAGCTTGATGAATTGATAACGTCGTCAAACACAAGACAAACGTTTGAAGGATGGGTGAGTTTCTACTGTGTATAACAGGAATTGTGCCTTAATATACACAGGACCGGTTGCATTGACTGCTTAGACTAGTAAAATGTCTTCTATTTTTTTTGTTCTTCAGGATTGATCATAACTTTTTTAATTCACATGCAAAAAAAGTAGATTGGTCTAATTTGAATCTGAAAAGTGAAACTGATTATCCCTTGGCTAACTGTTAGGTGGTCAAACTATAGTTTGTAAGAGACAGCCTTAAAGGGATCGTTCACCCATAAATGACAATTCTGATAAACAGTTGTTGGTAGCCATTGACTTCCATAGTGTGGAAAAAAATACTATGGCAGTCGGCGGCTACCGTCAACTGTTAGGTTACCAACATTCTTCAAAATATCTGCTTTTGTGTTCAACAGAATAATGAAACTCATACATGATTGGGACAACTTGAGGTTGAGTAAATTATGACAGTATTTTAATTTTTTGGACAAACTATCCCTTTAACATAGTGGCTATGTTTATGCAGCTGTCCCATATAGAGGGGTTTTACAATAATTATAGTTATCGCGACTCGCGAGGTTATCTGACGTTTTTAACTTATTGAAATGTTGTGAAACTTTTTTTGTTACTCGACTGTGAATATAAATAAAAATGTAAAAATAATAATAAAAAGAAGAAGAATCGGCCTACATTCTTGGAAACCACCCCCACCCCCAATTTCACACCCTTTACTTTTGATATAAATACTTTAATGTATATTTACATACAAAATGCAATGAAATACAAACTAAGAAAGATATGAAAACCATTGGCCTCTTTTTTTGCAGTTTTAATCTTTCCTGTCTACAGGCCTATCAGTGTTCTTGTGAAAGGGTCCTGTCGCTTTCATTTGTGCAAAAACTAGGTCGTGCTCAAAACCACATGTTGCACCCCACCATGCATCACGGAAACTTTCAGGGCGTTGCATTATCTTGCATCTATACGTTAACTGGGGATGTGTGGTTTGATGTAGGCCTACTTGTGTTCTGCTTTTGCTTTAGTCCAAGCGCTAAAATCTGGTCAAATCAGTCCTTGTGAAATTCTTGAAAAATAAATTCTCGAAAGTCTTGAAATCTGATGGTGAGGTTGTTATGTTTCATGCTAAAACATGTAATTATACATTTAACATTTTCAAGGTTACAGGTATTTCACACTGAACATAATAGCATTATTTTTAGTATTTGCTTTAGGCCTCATTTGGATAGTAGAGTTTTAGAATATTCCTCATGGTCACAGTTTCCTGCCCTAACAATCACAACATTATAGCTTACAGAAAAAGCGCTGGTTATTTTGCAAATGTGGTTCTCACTCTGTTTGTGGGGGATGTGTTTGCAAACTCGCGTACCACCAATGCAGACATGCTGCTCAACCAAACTAGCTGGATTCCTCTCTCCGCCCCCTAGAACCTCTCCTGTGTTTTACCTCTTAAGTTCCTCACATGTACACCTTGCAATGGTGATCAGCAGAACTTAAATGGACATTTTGTAATGATATCCACCTGGTTGTGTGGTCTGAAGTGTAATTTTAAAGCCAGCTGCCAAACATATCTGACATACAAGACTTCACAGCTGAGAGTTACTCAAGGAAATACTAGTTATCCTTGCATCTCTCACGTGCGGTTTACTGGCAACCTATTTATTGTGTTTTATATAATAATAATAATAATAATAATAAAAGAAGTGTCCTATCAGATGCTTGGTTGGTCTTTTTATATTTTCTGCTGTTTAAATACTATTCAAGTGGTTCAATACTTGCAATACAAAACCTTCCAGTCCCTTAAGCGCTTGTTGTGTTTGGTGGTGCGTGCTGTGAACTTGACTCCCTGAACCAGCTTGTCCTGCTTTCCTGGTCTTGTCTTGTGTTACAGGAATTCCTCCCACATGGCAGGGCAAGCTCAATGATAATAAGTGAGAGAATGACTTAGATGGCATAATAGAATGACTGTGACTGTAATAGAAGGTCAGTGTGACCAGCTAGAGATACAACTCTGATAATATACTGCAGTTTAATTGTTGTATTATACAGTGTTGTAATTTATTATGCAATAAATCAAACAAGCTTTCACTTAGTAATACGAGCTCACAGCATTTTTCTTTCATGCTAAGTGGTAACCACATCACACAGTAGCCACGTCCTTCACTCTAAAAGCATTTCTATTTACCTAAATGTGTCACCTTTAACATCAGGGTCAGCTCAGTGAAAAAATCTGGGGCTTTTTTAAAATGATTTTTTAATATTTAAGTGTGCAGGCTAACACAATATTTTTTTTACAGCTGATATAATCACACTGTGAACTAAATAAAAGTATTTAAAAATGTTTAGGATTTAAAAAATAATTTTGTTTAGTTTGCAGGAGATAAAGTATGTCCTCCATATATCAGGCCTGCAAAATATTGGGCACAAATGTTAGGAAGCTTTTGTTAAAAGTGATATTTTTTCAGCACTTACAGTAGTATTTAGCGAGCTTTTAAAGTCTTATCTCATTGAGTATCTCCTCTTCCAGGTGAATCTGGAACCAGAGGGAAGTGTCTATATCACCATCTCTCTCACCGGCTCCTTTACAGATGGTTAGCTGTTTTCGATAACTAGATATTTTATTTTTTATTATGACTATTTATTTTAATTATTATTTTATGAAAATCAATTATGTTATGTGTACTTAGTTATTTAATTTTAATATAATTATGCTGATTGTGTGTTTGTGAAGATTTACTAATTATTAGTTAGAACATTTACAGTAGACAGTTAAGCTATAAATGAAACCTGGTGTGCCATGATAGAATAGAATGATGATAGAAATGTTTTGTTCACAATTTTTGGTCTCTTAAACAAAGATTTTGTTGTATTTTTGTCTTTCAACATAATATACAAGCTCTCTTTTAAGTTTTATTCTGTTTTTAAAAATTGTAAGGATCATAACAATTAAACTAGTACTTACCCACAACACTTTAACTTTATGCTTAATTTTGTCAGCAATTTAATTGTGCTTACTGAGTGTTGCCATCAAATTCAGATGAAGCTGTGAATGGACTGAGACCCCATAAAATGTTTACAAGAGAAGGGCAAAAAGCTTTGAAGAAAAGAAAGGTCCACCAAGTCTATGGACATAAATTTATGGCAACCTTCCTTCCGCAGCCTACGTTTTGCTGCCATTGCAAAAACTTCATCTGGTGAGACTTGCACAGAAATAATGCACACCTTCATGCACATAAAACAATCAACAAATCAGACCCACTTAATACATGTTATGCCAAGTGGTTATAAATATATCATCATTCCCCAGGGGTGTTTTTGGAAAGCAAGGTTATCAGTGTCAAGGTGAGTGTTTACTATTAGTGGAATTTTCCCTTATGCTTTAACATACTGCATGCACAAGGATTAATAACATTCACTTTTATGCCTCATTATTCTAGTGTGTGCATGTGTGGTTCATAAGAGGTGTCATGATTTGGTTGTCACTGAGTGTACACGTATGAAGAAAGATTCAGATGAGGTAAGAGTGTGCGTATGTAAATGCATATGTGATGACAAAATTGTGTCTTGTGGATCAATTTCCCACATACATATTATTTTGTGTACAGGGCCAAAGACAGGGCTTTGGCATCAACCTACCCCACCAGTTTAGAGAGCACAACTACAAAGTTCCCACATACTGTAACCACTGTGGATCTTTACTTTATGGCCTGATAAAACAGGGTCTCCAATGCAAGAGTAAGCACATATTTACTCGACTTGAAATACATTAGATGCAAGATTGCTGTTGTCATCTTTGTGGCATGGATTTATCCAGGTTGCAAGATGAACATTCACAAACGCTGCGAAGAGAATGTTGCACTTAACTGTGGGGTGAACAGTGCTGAGTTGGCCAGCAAATTGTCAGAAATTGGAATGCTCAACACGCTTTCCAAACGAAAGGCTCAGGTAATGTCAAAAGAACTGTCTCAAAAACCCTCTTTTATCAGGGAATATTTGGTTTTGTTAAATGCAATGCACATTTATTTTGTGAGATATTTCTCCACATTTGCGTTTGGTTAAATATTGGTGTATTTTTTCAGAGTTCCCTGCACATGACAGGAATAAGAGGTCAGAACTCCATTATAAGCATACAGACAACGTTTGAGGAGCCAGTGGAAGAGACTGTTAAAGTTGTTCTGGAAGACTTCAGTTTTTTGCAGGTGTTGGGAAAAGGCAGCTTTGGCAAGGTGAGAGACACAACCCACACACACACACATAACTCTCATGCATTCAGTGTGAGGCACACACAATTGCCACTCTTCTCACACTCTTATGCCACACGACCATTATCTCGTGCAGTGAAAAGCACCCTCAAACGAAAGCAAAAAGTGATAATGGGATATTAGCAGATTTTGCAACCTCTCCAGTGCATTTTTGTGTTTGAGCTCTGGACAGCATCAAAAGTTTCTATTTACAACATGTTTTTGTAGCATTGAGCAATGCAGCCAATCACAGATATATCTGTTGATTTTTTTGAACACCTCTGATTGGCCATTGTCTTCAAGCTATTCAAAATTCACTCACCGCTCAAAATTCTGGATTTTTTTAAGACTCCAGAGTTCTGCATGCTCGCGAGTCCTCTCATTATAACAAAGTTTATACACAATGTAAATAAGAGACTCATTCTGCAGTGTAGAGAGCTTAATTGATTATAACAGAATGTTGTGAGATCGGGATGAACTGAAGTGAGTGACAGCTTTTTAGTGATTATAAAGAAAGCGCACTTTAGGCTACACATAATTCAATCAGAATTTGAATAAAAGTTTTGTTTTTTGAGCTGCTAAGAGGACCAATGGCCACATACACTGTACACACAGCAAAGTTTCGGGAGTGACATCTAAATCCCTCATCCCTCTTATAAATGCGAGATTTCACTTTCAAAATCGCAATAATTAACATAGTGATAACCATAGCAAAGGACAGGAGAAAAATAGATGAGCATTCAAAATAGATGAATATTAAGCAAAGTAGGCCCTAAATGCAGACCAGATTAATAAATTTTTTTAAAGGGGTCCTATTACGCTTTTTCAACTTTAGTTAGTCTGTAATGTTGCTGTTTGAGCATAAAAAAGATCTGCAAAGCTCAAAGTCCACCTTAAAAGGAGATATTTTATTTAACAGAAATCACTTTTCAAAAACTACAAGGAACGACTCGTTTGGACCACAACGCATATTTTCCGGGATTTGTGATATCACAAATATCGACGAATGGGACGAGACCTGGTTGAGCTGCACTAGAGAAGGCAACGAGTGTTATCACTATGTCGGAGACACGCTAGCTTTCCTAAGGCAGATGAACTTAGAGTGATTACAATCATCCGGGTTTAAATCACGCTCAAATTGCTTTGATTTTGACGCAATATTTACACTGAAGTAGGGATGGGCGTATCGATCCGAAGTATCGATACTGACGCGAGTATCGAAAGTATCGATACTCAAACAAACAATATCGATACTAAGGTGCGTTTTATTTACCAGTGGTTTTGTTTATTTAACAAAAAATAATAATAATAATGCATCCAATATGCATTGAATTGGACGAATAACCTTTGTTAGCGAGTAATTGTGTAGGATAGAACTATTTTCCTGCTCATCTAAACACGCAAATGTTGCAAGACAGAACCAATCCATCACAGAGAGCATTCACTCACTGCTGACAGTGCATTCAAACCGGGCTGATTTTCCCAAAAGTATCATAAGAAAGCATTAAAGCTTTTGGGAATGGCAGCCCTGAACAATGCTTATCAGAGGACAGAAATAAAAACATAAATGTTTGAGTTATTTCACAATAAACAAATTGAAATCGTAGCTTACATAGTTTGTGTAATTACAATTATTTAAATTGAACGTTGAAAGATAATATTGTTCATTTTCTATTCTGTAATGTTAATAGAAATCTTACACTGTCAGAATAAAAAGGTTTGGTTCACTGGCAGTCCCTAATGGCAGTACAAAATATTGCACTAAATCAAAAGTTCAAATGTTACAAATAAGTTTGAATATTAATGTTGTAATACTGGTAGCACTAATATAAAAATCTGATGATATATGTTGCAAAAAAGTAACAATTTTGAAATACGTTGATGGTTGTATTTTTTGTATTTGACCTCAGTATTCCCATCAATGTTGTATAAGGGTTTTTTATGCATAATAGTAACCCTAGAATGTGATCAAACAGTTTAAAATAGCTGGGCTAAGATATATAACAATTTTTATGACTGCAGAAATATGTTAATTCAGTATACACATTATCCCACCGGTTACAATTGTGACTGACCATAAAATAAAAATTTTCACACACTTGTCCAAACAAAAACAAACAAAAAAAGATTATTTCAAAGGGTTGAAATAATGACGCATCATTTGGATATTTTCATGTCTGGGAAAAATTTGGGATTAAACGGGTTAAAATGCGTTTTAAACGTAAAGTTAAGTGGTTTTCATTACCCATTTTACTCTTAGTAATTTAATAATTTAATACATTTCATAATTTCAAAGTTTAGTGCAGAAGTATCGAATCGGTATCGATATCGACGATACTGCCTTGAAAAATATCGGTATCGTATCGAAAACAAAATAAGGGGTATCGCCCATCCCTACACTGAAGTTCGCAGATGGCTATGGTAAGGGCATGACATTTCCCGACCAGGCGCCAAGTGCTGCCAATCACAGCACACACTGGCCCAGCTAACCAATCACAGCACATTTCGTATTTTAGAAGGCGGGCCTTCATTTGATACAGGAACTATTCGAGCCGTTCATGCCAGACTGGGGAGAGAGGTGTTGTAATAATGTAAAATGTGTGAAAATAATGTGTTTTTCGAACAACCTAGTATGAGAGCCTGTTCTAGTACACCCCCAAAACAGAATCAAGACTTTGTAAAAGAGCATAATAGGACCCCTTTCATTTTTGTATCAAAATATTTTTTTTGAAATGCAGTTGCAGTTATTTGGAAATGCAATGACTTGTAAATCTTGCAATTTGCTCACTGTACATTACTATTCTTGTTTTGGTGAAATGTTATTTGTTTCGAAGCATTGCAACAGTTATTTTACATAATTTTATTAAAAAATTATAAAAGCACAGTACCAGTCGTCATGAGGTTATTTACCAGGTATGTCTAACTGTCAGACAAAACTCTGCTGACAGATTTTTTTTTTAAACGAAACAACCCCAACCAAACCCGCCACCCCACCCCACCCCTCCCTCCGTTCTAACTCCAAGTTGAACTCAAAAGTTGGCAGCCCTGCAAACTGGTATCACTTATGCAGCTATACCTCATTACATTTACTGCATTTGATCATTATCAAGTCTCACTATGTCTTAAATATGTCAATTCCAATAGCAGCTCAGCCGTACGCTCTTAAAAATAAATGTTCTTTGTTGGTATCTATGGTGAAGAACCATGGAACCTTTTCATTACACAAAAGGTTCTTTAGTGGAAAAGTTTTTTTTTAAATGTTCTTCACACTAAGAAGAAAATAGTTCTGTGGCATCGCTGTAAAACCCCCCTTTTGAAACCTGTATTTTTTTAAGTGTTCTTGTAAACCAGACATGCACTTTCAACCCACAGAAGTCTATAATTGTGCATGTATGTGTATGTAGGTGATGTTGGCTCGTCTAAAAAGTGACCACCGGGTGTTTGCTGTAAAAATGCTGAAAAAGGATGTCATACTGCAAGAAGATGATGTGGAAGCAACCATGATTGAGAAGAGAGTGCTGACTCTGGCCCACCAGCATCCATTTCTTACACAGCTCTACTATTGCTTTCAGACTGCGGTAAGAGTCCACAAATAGTTTCAAGGTGCTAAATAGCGTTTCATATGATGTAGAGAGGTAAATAATAACAATATGTAGGAATTTTCTGTATTTATTTGTTTTTTTCAGGTGTTTTACCCACATTTTTAATTACACATTGCATTGTGTTGTGTTGTAGGGTTAAGTGTAACTTAACTGATAATGTCCTTGCACAAAATTGCGCCCGATTGTTTTCTACAGATTTACTTTTTTTTCTTACAGTGCACTTTGAATTCAGTGTGATTCCTTAAACAGCCTTCGACTGAAACAACCAGAGCAAATGCCGATCATAGTAATCTGGTCAGGGGTGAATTTAATGCAGTGTTTACGTGTTATCGGGTAGATAATCTGTAATGTGAGCCCAGAAGAAATCACGTTAGACGTAGCAGTAGAGACTGATTTCTGTGACCCTGATTTCCATATTGACTGACAAACTGGGGAAAAAAAGATTTGTTGAATGTAGACACTTCATTTCCCTCACTCAACCAGGAAACACAATGCAATTTGACAAAAACCCCTTGACATCATGTCAACAAAATGTGTTTAAATTCACGAAATGCCTTGGATTTTATCTTCAGTCTGCTGAAACAGATTGCATTTTTCATAAGAATGTTACTTGGGGTAAAAATCTGACAGCTAAATAGCAGTAGGTTCAGTTACAAAAATGTTACAGAAAATTAGATGCTACTTATTCAATGATATAAAGTATAATAATAGTAATAGTATGTTTTAATAAGATTACTGCTCTTTCTGGGAGTGTAATTTAAAATAGCCACCTAGAATCCGATCTTTTAAAAATCATCTAAATGAGTGATGTCTATTGTAATACCAAATGTAAACAGTAGATAGAGCCGCTTGTTTAGAATAACGTGTAGAACACACTCACTTTCTGCTGAGAAGTATGGTCTCCAGACAGAGCGACTGAGCAAACCATGTTCACATTGTAATACCTATCTCATTATACACATTTGTGTCCTCCTTAACCATATTATTCACCTGTACACACAAACACAGGGAAATTAATGCTTTTATGCAGCAAGGACATATTAAATTGATTAAAAGGGATAGTAAAGACATATATAAAAATTCTGTTTCAAATAAATTTTGTTTTTTTTCTATTAAAAATGATTCAGGGTTTCAAAATTGCTAAAAAAAAATCAGCATATTTGAATGAATTTTGAAAGATTATGCGAGACTGGAGTAATGGCTGCTGAACATTCAGTTATGCCAACACACAAAGAAATTACATCTTAAAATATATTATAAAAATAGTAAAAAACTTAAAATTGTAATAATATTTTACAATGTTAAATTGTTACTGCATTTTTTACTGTATCAAACAAATGGAGCTTCAGTGAGCAAACAAAAACAAAATCCTTTTTTTTTTCCAAAAACATAAAATCTCACAGACCCCAAACTTTTGAAAGGTAGTGTATTTTAAATAAAAAAGATATAAT